CTCTGCTAAACCAGATGCTCCCTCTGTGACCCTGGCCAAGTTGCTTAGGCTCTCTGTGCCTCAGTTTCTAATTATAAAATGGGAATATTGACAACTGCTTCTCTCACAAGGGACTTAGAAACACAGTAATCAGAGAGAGCTGAACACTCACAGAGCTTTGGGAGGAATGGTACATGTTCCTCAGTCAAGCAGAGAGCAGCACCCATGTGTTTGGCTTGAACCATGTCCTCAGATGAAGGAGGACAGTTACAAGTGTTGTTTTCAGTTCCCCAGCAAAGCTTCAACTGAACCCGAAGTCTTTGATAGGCATAGAAAGAGAAGCAATCAAGAGAACACTGTGACATAAACACTCTCCTCCTCTGACTAAAAATGCAGATAAACTTCCTTGGGATTTCTAGCAGTATTTCTACCTAAATCTTGTTGAAGTTTGCAGCAGTATGACAGAAAATTCTACTAGGCCCTTAGCGGTTATGTCTTCTGGTCACTTCTGTCATTCATTTCACCCTTTAGTAAAGAACTATTTATTCCCTTGCAGTTTTGCCTCATGAGCCTCAGTTGCAGCACCATTAGTCACCCTTGGGACTTGACTGAAGAACCTCTCAGCCCCCTCTGGCAGTGGTTGGTTTGCCCAGCACAGCCTGGTCATTGGTGTCCTTGTGCTTTGGAGAATGGAACATGTGCTATGCAGGTTGGGACACTGAAGTCCTGCCAGAAAAAGGCCCTTTCTTTGGATGGGCCATGATGGTGCATCCCTACTTGCATCACCAAGTAGCCCACAATATTGGGCTGAAAGACAATTTGTGTCTTGCTTTGATTTATTTTTTCGCTCTTTCATTTCTTCACTGAAGTACAGCATTGTATCCCCTAAGGACAGGACTGGGCCCTTGCTCTATTACATGGAAAGTTATTGAAAACTTGTAGGAAATTAGGTTCCCTTTCTCCATTCTCTACTATTACATTAACTTGTTCAGAGAGCTCCAGCAGGTAACTGAGTTTTCTCCAGCAGAGGCTCTGCTGCCTCGAGCCTATCATGTTAATCTCCCTTAATTAGATCCTTCATCCCATTCTCAGGAACAGATGGGAGGCTTAGGGCTGTGAAATTCTTGGGATCTCCTGAGACACCTGAGGAGCAACCCTCCAAGGTCTTCCAGCCTTTCACAATCCCAGTCATCCCCATCGAGGCTTTTCTGTGCAAGGGCAGTGTGGGTGTCCTCTCTGCTGCCTGTGGAGTGCTGCAGGCTCATGTTGCCCTTACCGTGTTCCCCTCCCTCCTGCTGCCTCCATCCGTCTCCCTGCACCTCAGCAACCCTATGGAAGTGGCAAGGTGAGCTGCCCCTCTTTCCTACAAGGATTTCTGACTTTATAATCAGAATATCTTATTCAATCTCCTGCTTTGTTAGCAGGGTGGACGTCATTCTTCCACATGGCTTTGTGAAACTGTTCATGTCCATGTCCTTTCTCTCAAAAGTACAGTTGCACATCACAGCTTCAGAGGGTGATGTAAGATCTTTCTCATGTTAACACATAGAGTGCACTGATGCTCAGGGGTTCTAGTTTTCTAATAATGTCCTAACATCTACTAAGACCAAGAGTAGAAATCATCTCTCTCATTTTTTTAGCACTTGCTTTAACAGTCAGTGCCTTACAGGACTGTACCCTTGTGCTGTATGGGGTATTCACAAGTCTGTGAAAGGGTACCAGGCAAAAAGCAGCAAACCATGTCTCACTGGATACACTATGTGGCAATGCATAGTCCACATTATTGGTGAGAAATCCGAATACCACTGGATGTCCTGAGCTTTCCTATGTGTTGCTTTGGGACAGTATTGGAGTATTCAGCCAGAAGTTCATAGCAAGGTCCATCCATAATCTAAACTAGATACAGCACAGCTGGTGAAAAGGGGATGCTGACAAGGGAAGGAAACTGAAACACGAGAATCTGACCCCTTTTCTCCTGGATATTGTAAAAGAAGATGTATTGCTGTGTACTCGTGGTGACAGTTATTTTTTGTCATTACTGTAACTGGTTTAGTTCCTTGGCTTGTCAGCCAAAGATGTGCTGGTCGGCAGTCAACGCTGTCTTTGGATCGATACCTGGGAGGAGCTGTAGTTTCTCTGATAGAAATCCTGTTGTACAGGTTTTTTTTTTTTTCTTTATTCTCTTTATTCCTTTCTTCACTGGTCTGAGCCTTTGGTCCAGTTCTGCAGATGCCAAAGGGTTTTAAGTGAAACACCGACATGCTTGGATTTTTATCTGGAACAGAACTTTGACAACCATCACTTGGAAATGGGAGATGGTGCAGTCAGTAAGCTCAGCCTATGAAGATTGTGTATGTGAAGGATGAGGAAGAAGCTGGGATTGAAAACCTTTATGGAAGGTTTTTGATCTGTTTTGTTTGCTGGATCTTGGAATACAGACAAACCCATTAAAATGAGACCATAAAACAAGCCACAGCTTTTGGTACATGTACAGGTTTGTCAAGACCCAAAGCAGAGAGCTACAAGATTTAAAGCAAGTAACCTTCTGAAATTATAGTTTGGAACAGGGAACTCCACGCCAATCGATGGGAGTCTGCTTTTGTTATGGTCCCAAAAACCACGAGGCTGACTCATGCTATTACAGTGATGCACAGTGTTGTCAAGGTAATGGATTTGGGCACTTGGCAAATACAGGAAGGGTGTAAAAGGCAAGGAGGTGTTCTACTGCCTTCCAGGAGCAAACTTCATACTAAGGATGTGTGTGTGGTTGTTTTTTTTTGTTTGTTTTTGTTTTGTTTTGTTTTGTTTTTTTTATGACTGAGATAGAGAATACTCAATTTTGTTGCAGAAGTGAGAATTTTATCCCCTGGCCTATTGCTGTTGTTGTGCACATCACCCTTGGGAATGCTGTTCTTTCCTATATGTAGCAAGGTTTGTGAACTTTTCCTGCCATGCCTCCTCCTGCTGGTGCCTAAGAAGCCTCTATCCACAGGGCTTAGGTGAAAATTAGAAAGGGGGAGAAGAGGGGAGATAGAGAAATCATGCATATTTTAGTTCCTTAGGGAAGAGCTTGGCTGTAAAGGAATTGTTGGGCTGAGTTCAGAAGAGATTGAGGTAAGGAGTGAGCCTCTAAGGACCATGTTTGCAACCTCTCAAGGCCTTTTATTCCTTTTTTTTTTTTTTTTAATAATAACAGCAACATTTTAAAGCACTGTTTAAAGACAAGTTTGGAAAGATCAACCAGAAAGGCAAGAGAATTGGGATTTCTCTTAGAAAAACTTAGCCATCCAGTCATCCTGCTTAACTGAACTTTGATAAAAAGAAAAACTGAGAGGAGGAGGGGAAAAAAAAAAGGAGAAAGTAGCTACCTGTTAAAAATTATCAAGATGAGGGATTGCTGTCTGTAAAGCTTCTTAAGACAAATCCTTCCTTATATAACTCCTTGTCTTTCTTTCACTAACTTTAATGAAATCAGAAGCTGACAGGAAAAGTGAAATGCCTGCGCTAATGAGATAATCTGACTTATAAAGACCAATAAGGCAAAGGATGCATTAAGTGTTTGAATAATAGAGCTTCAGACTTGTCTGGAGCAGTGACTGCTTTGTGGGAATGTGATGTGGGAGGTGTCAGGGACTCGGGGAGCAGCAGTGAGTGTGTGTTCCTGTGTGTGCCAAAGGGTGTTCACCTCCAGGCTGGAAGGAGAGCTGTCCAGATGACCAGGTTTGCCTACTCTGTAGCCTTCTTTTTATCTCCTAACAGAGAAAAAGATTGGCAAGGGATAGGAAACCCAGAGAAAGGGAAGGAGAGCCCAGCCAGAAGTTTAGAAAAGGAATGTTGTGGGGTTTGGAGACTAATATATATGGATGTGAATTTGTAAGAGTAAGTGCCTTGTTTATCCACACTCGACATGTGTCCCTCTTCTGAAGGTCCTAATCCAACCTCCAGCCAAGAGAGTGGGAAACCTTCTCCTGATTTCTTGGGTTGTTTTTGGATCAAGCCTTTGGTGGTAGAAATCTGGAATCACACCTTGATACAAGACAGGAATAGGTTGAAAAGAATTTTGAGGAGTGCATGTGCCTATGTTTAACTGCAAGCTTGCAGTTATCATGATGCCTGTTTATGAAGCTTCTTGAACAAAATCCAAGGTATTTTTTTTTTTTTAAATGTGGTACCAGCAGCATGCACATAGTTTCTCTAATAGCCTCTAGTTTTGCCTGAGGTGAGAGATAGCTGGGGCTGGCATTTGTTGGAGATTTAGCTTGTGAGAGGTGCACTTTCTGCAGCTCAAAGTGAAGGAATTAACTTACAGTTTGAAATGTCAACCTTTTCCAAGAGTGCTTAGGATTCACAAGCACTTTTATACTTTAAAAAACCGTTTTGGGGGGAGCTATGTTATTTTTTGGCAACGGAGATGTAGCCACTTCAGTCCAACAGCCATTGTGCCTGTTGGTGATGAGGCTCTGGAACACTCACTGCAGCCTGAGGAACAGTCAAACAACCTCTGCTAAAACAGGACTTACGAGTGGGATAGTGCAGCCTGGTAGCCTGTGGTAGTTTGTAAATGGCCTAGGTCACCTCCAGTCCCACTTTGTACTTTCTGGTGTATTAGGAAATCTCAATTTAGAGTGTCCTAAACTATGGTAGAAGCAACAATATTTTACTTTTCAAATGACAACACGCAATGAAGTTGGATTGTACATGGAACAATTCACTGAGGCTAAATGAACTGCTACTTAAAAATAATATGGTGGTAGGTATTTAATCATCCAAATCTAATTGTAAGATATAGCCACAATCCTTTTGTTTCAGTAAATTAAATGCCAACAGGGAAAGCAAAAGGGAGTGAGGCTCCATGAGAAACATGGCACAGTACATTAAAAATCAACTATGGAGAAAGGTGATTCATTAAAGTAAATGCCAACCTTGAAAGAAAGGCTCTAACAACCTATTACTGTAAAACAAATAATAGCTTAGATGTGGTCTTTTGCCATCCCATATTCTGTTATTTCTCTTTTGTTAAGGAATACAGAGACCTGACAGCAGTGATGGAGAAGCTTGTGCATGGAAAATTTGGATTGATTGGACAGTGACAGCATTTGTCAGCTTAAGTAAAGATATTCAAAGTCAACACACTACCTACAGAAGTAAAATTTTGGTGTAGAGGAATCACTCTGAGCTCAAAATTTAACCAGTGATGCCAAATCTTGGGTAGGTTGCTAATTAGCTCTGCAGAGCTGCAGGAATGCACTAAGATTAATAGCAGTTGTAGAAAGCTATAGATTTTATATGATGTCTTTCCCTTGTCAGTGTTACTTTTGCAGGCAGTCTATTTCCGTTTACTTTAAGATTCCAACTTTTAGGTGAAAATAGTTTCTCTGGACAAAAGATAAATAAATCCTTCAGCTCTTTGCTAATGTTGGAGTATCAGCTTCGAAGTGTGTTTCCTCAGAGAAATGATGGCACACCATAATATCTACACAGAAATATCTTACAGTTCAGTGTCTTTTATTCTGAAGGATCTCCAAATCCTTTACAAACTCGGATTCCTTCTCTGATCTGCAAAGTGCCTTTTTACTGTGTTCTCTGCAGCATTCAGCATGTATTGATGTTGATTTACCATGAAGGCTGAAAGGGCTGAGCTGTATGTATAGGCTGGGTCTCTCACTTCCTCTGCATAGCATATAGATATTTGTTATATAGATATTTGAACATAATATATATTCATAATATATATTCATATAGATATAGATATTTGAGCACATAATATGTATTTATAAGGCATCTCAGTTTCACCAGAACAGCACAGAGGGTGAGTAGTGTGGTACTTTCATTCATCAAGCAGCAGAGTTTTAAAGGCAGGGGTTTTTTATATATCTGGATGCATCCATAACCCCCAGCTCTGAAGAGCTTTTCTTATGAATCTCTGTTGTGAGGGAGTGAAATGTAATCTCTTGTTCTGGGCAAGCAGATACAAAGTGCTGATTTGTCTACTAGCAAATATGAGGAGTCTCTCAGTGAAAACTAATATCCTGTGGAAGGATTTTTTTTATTATTTCTTTCTTGGGTCTGTTTTCCCTATCTTTGATGCCTTTATTTCATCACCTTTACTATTACTATATTTAACATATAATCGTAGGTTTTCCAAGGCAAGGGAATATTAATTCGTGGTTGTGTAAGAGAACTTTTTCGTGTTCCGTCCTGGGCATGTTGAGCATCACGAGGAGTCCTTCCTGGCTCTTGGCTAAAAGGGACTGTGGGAATGGCCAGTGAGAAGGGAAAAAAGGTCTTTTCTTTGTTGCCAGCAGACAGACCTTTCCTTTCTACCACTGGGAGGAGCATGAGAACAAGAGAAACCACATCTTCCTCTTGGAAGCAGATCACTGCAACTCCCAGACTGGAAGGACTCGTGTTGACACCTGGATTAGTTTTCCTGCTGATATGTGAGAATTAGTGGCCTCATCTTTTGGGATGTCAGTGAATACATTTTTTCTCTTTTTTGGCTTGAATGCTGAGATTATTGGGGCACCGTGCTTTTGGTTCCCCCTCCCAACCTTACAAACCCTGTAAGAATGCTGGATCTTTGTGCCATTAAAAATGGACCAGTTGCCACTTTGTGCAGTAGTCCCAGTTCTGTTACAGCTACTGGGCTGGGATGAAGCTGTAATCTGCTGTGCTAAAATTTAAGTTTCTGGCCAAAAAAGGAGTCAAACTGTAGTATGTGCATGAATCCAGACCCTTTTTGGGGCATAGGGGAAACACCACCTTTCCCACCCTGTGAAATAAACCCGTGCAGAGTATTTGAGACCTGTCTAGAAGGTCTGCAGTTTTGGTGGCTGCCTTGGATAAAGATGCACACATGTGTGTAAGGCAGTGCAGGGACTGGCATTCCCCACGTGGAACACATCAGAGTGAAATGGCAGTGCAGTCCCTTTGATGTTCAGAACAGTGACAGGGCAGCACTATGGGGATGCAGTCCCATAAAATGGAGGTTTAGGAACGGCAGCAAGGGTTTCTGCCTGATGCTGCAAATTAACAATAAAGCTCAGGGGCATGGTGTAATTATTTACTTTGCTAAATAACACAGAGGAGCTATGGTTTAATTACAGTAGTTTAGCTATGCAATAGAACGCAGAGACTGAGGCTTCAGTGGATTGCATTAATGAGCCTTGCTATCGGTTACTTCTAATATTGGATAATGTTTCTTTTGTTTTAAATCATCCTTTTCAAATGAGTTCCATGCAGATGAGAAGGAACCTTTCCAAAGTATCACAATGGATTGTTTTTGTTTCTAAAAGACACAACCCAACAAGGCACTTGATACTACAATTATACTCAGTAAAGCCAGATGCATTTGGATCTGCTCTTTTGTCATTGACATCCCTTTTGTGCTAGCTTTTGATGAAATTTAAGCAAAAAGGATGTAGCTGGGCATCTTCAAGATGGCAAGAGTCTGTATTTCTCGATCCTATCATCAATCCAATCAACCTTCATTTAAAGAAGATTGGAGAAGCGAATAATGCACATTAAATAATAGCTTTTCCTGAACATTTAGGGCATACTAATTAATAAATAGCTCATTACAACTTCAAGGCCAAATTTTATTTTTATTGAAGTCAATGGCCCAGCTCCTTCAACTGAACAAGAATGGTGTTGGCCATTGCTGTGTAGTGTCTCAGAAAATAGATGAGAGGAAGGAACCCTCTCTAGTAGTGCCCAAGGCAGAGGGACTGGAATGAGATGATCCTTAAGGTCCTTTCCAACCCAAACCATTCTGTGATTCTGGGAATCTGGTTTTTCATTCGTGTGCTTGGTGCTGTTTCTCAGTTTCTGTAGTTGTGACCCATTCTCTCATTTTCATACCCTCACCAAACTTTGAAGCAATGACAGTATGGAGCATGGGTAGTGTGTGTTGAGAGCAGTTACCAGCTGGGCAGGACATGACAGTGAAGGATGTCTGCATTTCTTGATCAAGTTGGCTGCCTGGGACATGTAGGGCCTGGGGAATGACAAGGGAAGACTGTTCCTTGTTCTTATTTTTGCAGACTTTTGTATTTATTTTTGTAGGCTTTTCAATGGCTCTCAGAGGAACAGTATATATATATTTCTCATAGATATACAGAGCTGGACTTGAGGAGCATTTGGAAGAGAAAAGGGAATATGGTCATTGCCTGCAATTCCCACCTGACAGGCCTTTCATTTAATTTTAGTTGTGGATGCTGATCTAAGCTGTGCATCTCAGCTATGCATAGTAAACTCATAGTTAGACAAAACATACCTTCATTTCCCTGCTTTATACCTCTGAAGAGATGGGATGGTTTTCACAGACAAACTGATAAAATACCTGAAGTGCTTTGTGTCAAGCAAGGTTTTATTAACATGGAAATTTAGGTTGTTCAGTGATACAACTGTCCAGGCTTAGTTAAGTTTCATGTATTAGAAGCTGGTATTCTTCAAACTGTCAATTTTGGGGGTGGATGAGTGACTAAAACAGATGTATTAATGTCTAGCAGTTGAAGTACTGTAGCCTGTGGTTATACAGACGAGTGGAGCTCCTTGCCAAGATTCAGAAAATAAATGGAATAAGAGCTAAGAAGGGGAATGCTGTGAACACCAGGAAAAGCTTTGGTGTTTCCTCGCAGGAGGAAAAGCAAATGAAAGACTGGTTTAGTGCTAATTTTTGCTATCAGAGGTAAGACTGTAATACTTAAAGATACAAGGGAAGCTGTCACTTCATTCTCAGAAATGTGGCTGTAAGTCCCCAGCTCGTGGCCCAGTTGTGGTTTGGGGAATCACATTTTGTAGATCAGAATTTCCATTGCTGTTTCAATTATCTGAAGCTATTGATTGTTAAAGGTTATGAAGTTAATTTTCATTTCAAAATGCAAGTGAATGATGCTAAATAGCTACTTCATGTTTTTGCTGTTGTGGTTGTGAAATTTGGCATGAAAAATGCGTGGCAGGCTCTTGGGAACTGCTCTGGTAGAGTGGAAGCTAGAGAGAGGGCAGAAGTTCTCTAGTCTCATTTGCTTGCTTTTTTTTTGGTTTGTTTACTTTGTTTTAAAACAGTCTCATCCATTTTCAATTATCTGTAGTTATTTGTGGAACTGAACAAAAATTTATTTATTTACTGAAAAAAGTGAATTATTGTGTCAACCAAAACTTGTTATATGTTTATACCGTTTGGGCTATAAATAAGGAGAAGCATTTGATCCATGTTTTTTCTAGACCTTGGAAAAATAGATGAGTTGCTGTTTGTTTTGTTTTGTTTTCCCTTTAATATCCTTGTTTGGAGATGTTATTTTCTTTTAAAATATTCTTGCTGTGGCTTTCAAAAGGTGTATACTCTGACCTTGCAAGTATGATATAAAATTTTTAATTTTGCTTGGTCTGATCTGAAGAAATACTGCAACTTCTTTCTTTTTCCAGATTCAATCACATTAAAAAAAATCAATTCTTTGCACATCTCTCTGTATTAGGGACATTTACGGGTCTGTCTTCAGAGAACTGAGCTTAGGAGCCACCTAGGTAAGAAAACAAGGGCACAACAGTAAATTGAGTGCTGGTATTTCTGTCAGGTTGGCCTGAAGAAATGCCAAGGGCTGTGTGCAAGGAAACCTTGTGCAGGCAGGAAGGGCGTCTGAACTCACTCTGGCTTGGAAGCAAATACAAGCAACAGCAGGATTGGAAATGCAAATAGCTTTCAGACAAACCTAAAGAAAACTGCAGCAGCAGCAGCAGTGAAACCATCCTGTTTGTCACCAGGACCCCACTGTATTCCCCATGCATCTCCTGTTCCCGTGACCGGCACGCTGCACGTTCAGGGCTGCAGGAGTGGTGATCCAGAAAATTCATAAATATAATAAACTCAGACAGCAGCAGCAGAGTTAGAGGAGCCTCGTGCCACAATCTCCTGCCTCCCACTGTTAAAGACGTGTAGCCAGAGCATTGTTGATCTGCCTGGTACAATCAAAGATGTTTGCATGCTGCACTGAACATATGCTCTAGGTACTCTCCACAGGGGCTGGCAGATTGCTTCCTCTGTGCAATCATTTGTGTTGCTGTGGCTGCTATT